AGTAAATTAATAAATAGAAAATTGTGAAAACAGAAGAAGATAATTACAGATATTAAGATTGAGCTATTGTCAATTGAAGATCTGCTAAAAATCCGGGGGAACCTGAGCTATACAAATTAAACCATCCAATGAGACTCGTTACTTGCAGCAAAAATACCATTTTATCACCATTATTAAAATATGCATTCACCTTTATTAAAGAACGCCGTCAAAAATCCCAAATGGTGTGTATAATCATCCTTACTCTCTCAATTCGTACAAGAAATGACATCTGCAACAATAAGACCGAATTGGAAATAGTTATTGTTTAATGATAATCATAATATTCGTTCCAAGTCTGTTTAGACAAATTTAATTTTTGAACTACTCTGATTGTTCTATGTGATTAATGGCAATGTCAACTGCTCGTGTAGTTGATATATTACTGTATAAGAGTTAAAGATCTAGGCTTGCTAAGTATTCATCTGGTCTTATTGTTGCTGATGTGATTTCCTGTACGAAGTGCGAGAGTAAGGATTCTTTTTTCCTGTACGAATTGCGCTATCGTTTTTGCGCTATCACAGATTTACAGTCTAATTAATTATCTTTTCTTCATTTTTATTCTACTTTTGTCTGACGAAGACGTCTTTGACGTTGAAATGTAACAAGAAAGAGTATCCAAAAATAACTCAGACAAAGACGTTTTTATATTTTCATACAAATAAAACGATATTGTTTAGAGTCAAGTTCATATAGATAATGCAAACGTGAATCCAAAATCTTTTAAATGGGATGCAATTCTTCTTCTTCGGTACACAACTTTCTGTATATCGAAAACGGAAACATTTTAGAACAGTTTGGTCGAGAGTTGTTTTGAGTGCTGGAGGACCGTTATCACTCCTGCTACGTCCGCTCCTAAGATAACTTGAAAGTAAAAGTAAAGATGAGAGCGAGTTTTTATGTGCCTGAAGCCGATAAAGCGTAGTAAAATGCACGCAGAAACAACTTTCGGACGCCTTGAATGAATGACCTGTTTGGTAAAGTACAAAATTATATTGTAGTAGTCGGCGATCAAAAGTCATTGAAAGTTTGCATAGAGCTCAATCTTCCCTGTTATAATGGATCGAATTATTTGGCATTTAAATACAAACAAATCACCTTTGACAAAGACGCAGAGTTTAGTGATAAAATCAGTTATAACCCTTTAACATGGTTTAAAATACCTTTTTACCTGGATGTGATTCGAAAAGGTTACACAATAATAACAACCGATACAGATATTGCCTATTCAAGTAAGAATGTTTGGGAATCATATGAAAAGTACGCGAGAGATGTTGGCGCTGACATGGTGTTTGCGAGTGAACACCCTATCAATACTGGAAACTTTTATAGTTTGTCGAATGAACGTGTGATTGCTTTATTTAATGAATGGATTATGTCCGAAAGCAGATGGCTCAATGATAATGATCAAGAAGCATTGATTAAACTACATAATAAGAACTACATGCTTTGTAATACACGAGAAATGTGTAATCAGGTTAAAAGCACATCAATGAATTACACTAACAGTACAGCATCCCTATCTAAAGAGTATCAAACCAATATGGTTGCTGTCAGAACTTATCGCTCTTCTTTTAGCCGTTTTGGAAGTCATTGTTCACCTCCATCAGGTGTTAGAATGGATCCATGTGCTGCAGATGTTCTTTTTATACATACAATCTGCATGATTGGTAAACAAAGAAAGGCAGATAAGCTAAATGAACTTGGATTTTGGATGTTAGATGAGCCGTGTCGAGAAACGACTACAGTTATTAACGAAGCCAATCACACTACAGTTTTGTCGATATATCGATGTGTTCCAAAGATTTTGGCCTTACCGAGAGCCGAAGATAATTTCACGAAATGTAATGAAGCACTGGCATGGACTTGACACATAATTGTAATCGAAGATATCGCAAGTTCATGGTCACGAACGCTAGTGCGTAAATCTGTTTTAATACTTGAGGAAATTCTAAACATGTCCTTCATAGAGTACAAACAATCAAAAGCCGTTCTGAGACGCGTTTCTGGTTACCATTAGCAGAAATAGAAAGAGATACGAGAACCGGTGTCTAAATTAAGAGTCATCGAACCTAACTTATAACTTATATAAATGTTTTCTATAGGAAAAACCCTTCCACTATAAAACTATTTTGTGATTGCTTGCTTGGAATATTGATCGTGGTGTCATAGAAAATAAGATTGTTGCCACGCGTTTCGTTTTATTTAAAAGTAAAACTCATCAGACAGTTATTTTAATCTAGAGCATATATAAGAAAATAAAAAATATAGATATTGAATCTGCAGATGAATTGTCAGCCATTTCGAAAGCTACAACAGCGTACATTAATACTATGTCGATCTTCAAAAAATGTATGCCTCTGCTCAAAAGATTTCAGAAATTTAAAAACCATCGTGTACGTTATTGATCAGTTTGGTCTTAAAATTAATTTTTCTCATTTTCACTACGTCTTTCTGTAAAAATAAGAGGATATTCTTGATCCTTGGACAAAGCAAAATCGAATGGTATATTATACGAATATAGACAAAGAAAACAACAATCAGTCTTGGACTGTCCATATAAAAAGTTTATAAACAATTTTGCAAACCTATCTAGTATTTTCTGTCTGTCGAAGAAAATAGGTTATTTTCTTTCCAGATACGTGGCCTAAAAAAAGTTTTAGACTGACATGATATTGGTAAAAGTCAATGCAGTAACTGGTTCGACATCGGCAGATGGACAGTGCCGTTATGTTTATATCTTTCAAAAAAAAGTTCAGTACTAGAACTCATTCATATCAGTCACCAGATAATATTTTATAATATTTAATTTTACATAATTTTGTTTTTAGTAGAGTGCTGCACTGATATGCATATTGGTGCTACATTATCATGCCATAACCATGAGATACTGCCTATGTAGTTCTCGTTTGAGAAGAAAAAAGGCAAAAACCCATTCTAAGTATTATTACTAGTATATTGTAATGTTTATATATACACTGTAAAAAATAACGCACGCTTTAACCGTTCCAATCTGATGGCTTAACTGTCAGATAACCTGACTCTTAAAACGCTTTTTCCGTCCGGTTGTGCAACCTGATGGAAAAAACATCATATCGGGTGAGTTATCTACGATTGAATTATTAAAAAACTATCCAACTCTTAAACCGTCAGGTTAACACGGTTTAAACATGCGACTTTTTACAGTGTAGACAGAAAGTTAACAAAACAAAACGGTGCTTAAAAAATAAAATTTGGCACCTAACCGGTGTACACCTAGACAGGCGCATCGCGCCGTTGCCGCCAATGAATAATTGTTTTGGATTTTCGGCGCCGCCACCGAAGTTTATTGGAGGTCCTCGTCGTACAAAACTTGTTTTAGCCTCATTATTTTGATTGAAAATAAAATAAAACATTTGATGAAATTGACGCACAGGTCTATGCACACTTGCAGTGTTACCAGAGTTGCCAAATGGTCCAAATTCCGAATTTTTGAGTTTTTTCCACAATTTATCCGCATTTTAAGCATTTTCGGCTTTTGCTGTTTTTCCGCTGAGTTAAAAATTTGTTTAAATCCACCATTATCATGCACTGAAATTTATAATTATTTCTTATCAACGCCAGAACTGCTTAAACTTATTCATTCTAATCAAAAATATACAGTTCAAAAACAATGTGTCAATTAAAATCGAGATTTACATTTCTGTGTTTATTGTTATCTTGTGTTTTATTGAGTAAAACTACAAAGTACTAAAGAAAACATTGTTTTGACTCGCTGTGCGTAAAAAAAGGATGAAGTTGGACCAGAAACTTTTTCCGCGGATTTTCGAACTTTTATTCCGCATTTCTGAGCTGAGCATCTGGCAACTCTGAGTGTAACGCAAAAATTTTTTATAAAGAGGCATTTGTTCAATACGGGTACACATCCGTGTCGTATAGGTACTGTTAGAGTAGGATGCTGTAGCGTGCAGCTGTGGTCACCGATTAAGGGAATCCAACCACTTAAGGGACATAGCAGAATTCATCATAGAGGTTCAAGTAAGATTTAATTTAATCTTAGCTAGTGAACGCACGGTAGATATAAAAAGTGCAGATCTCGTTCTTAAAACACTATTTTCTTCCTAATTCTACATATTTTCAGTCTATCTAATTCATATATGACTCATATTCCTTAATTCGTCATGACTCATATTCCTTAAACGGTGCAATTTAATTCGTTTCCATTATTTATCCACGAATTCTACGGAAAAATCCTTAAAATATCTTAAGGTTAGTTGTTATAGTAATATTCGACTTTTCTTCCAATCATTCTCTCCCTTTGCCATCTTACTTGAACCTCTATGATGGATTCTGCTATGTCCCTTAAGTGGTTGGATTCCCTTAAGCGGTGACCACATGCAGCGTATCGTAGATAGAGTCCGCCAGTGTAAGCACATATAAATGCTCAACTTGAATTCCATAAAACTAACTGTTCATTTTCGGCATATTTTCGGAAATTATAAGAAACTCACATATAATACAAAGAAGTTTGGGGGCTTTTTCCATGAACGCTTTTAATTAAGTTTTCTTATTAGACAAAAATTAAAAACTCTTAGAGACAAAAATTAAAAAACACTGAAATAGATGCCGCTTATTGACAAAGCAAAGTTTTCCTTTCGTTTCAAGTATTATTTCTTTTTAATCACTCACCACATGGCGCTACATAATAGGCTTTTTGCGCTGAGAGTGACTCCTGACAACTAGAGGTATACAGACATCGGTTGATACACCAAAATGAAAGTTCTTTGTATTTTGATTAGTCAATTTACCATTCTCTTAGAAAAGCAATAAATTAATTAATTCGGTTTTTTGGCTATATGACGCATAAATCAAAGCGGTGACAAGTATCATCGTATTGCATCGTGCTACTACTACTTTTGACGAAGCTTGTGCGCTAGGTTTTGCTATCAATATTATAGGGGATTTCGATGATATTTTCGTGCGCATGGATGATTGGGATGAAATCGAACACTTTCAGAATTTCTGCATGGATGATATAGCAATATTTTTTCGTATGTTTCACAGAAATACAACGTTTTCTCTCGTGGGTTGTAGTTAAGCAGTTATTCAGGAAGGTAGTAGGTTCAGGTAGGTAGTAATCTAATCTCTCTCTGAAGTATTCAAGATCGCGTTTTCTCTATTATTACTTAGATCGTGGTGATCCTGAGGTGCTGTGTGTTGAAGAGCGTCTGCGCGACGGGTGGGAGTTTCAGGAAGGTAGTAATCTAATCTATCTTTGAAATATTCACGATCGGGTTTTCTCGATTACTTCTCTATTTAGATCGTGTTGATGATGAGGTGGTGTTTTGCTGAAGAGCGTCGGGGTGAAGGGTGGGAAGTTCAGGAAGGTAGTAATCTAATCTCTCTCTGAGGTATTCACTATCGGGTTTTCTTTATTGTTGCTCTATCCAGATCGTGGTGATGATGAGTTGGCGTTTGTTGAAGAGCATGAGGATGAAGGGTGGGACTTGCAGGAAGGTAGTAATCTAATCTGTCCCTGAACTATTCAGGATTGGGTTTTCTTTATTGTTGCTCTATTCAGATCGTAGTGCTGATGAGGCGGTGTTTAGCTGAAGAGCGTCGGGGTGAAGAGTGGGAGTTTCAGGAAGCTGGTAATCTAATCTCTCCCTGAAGTATCCAAGCTCGGCTTTTCCCTATTATTTCTCCATTCAGATCGTGCTGAAGATGAGGTGGTGTTTGTCGAAGACAGTCGGGGTGAAGGGTGGGAAGTTCAGGAAGGTAGTAATCTAATCTCTCTCTGGAGTATTCAAGATAGCGTCTTCTCTAGTATTTCTCTGTTTAGATTTTGTGAGATGAGGTGGTGTTTGTTGAAGAGCGTCGGGGTGAAGGGTGGGAAGTTCGGGAAGGTACTAACCTGATTCCTCTCTGAAGTATTCAAGGTCGCGTTTTCTCTATTATTATTCAAATCGTGGCGATGATGAGATGGTCTTTGTCGAAGAGCGTTGGGGTGAAGGGTGAGGAGTTCATGAAGGTAGTAATCTAATCTCTCTCCGGAGTATTCAGGATAGCGGCTTCCCTATTATTTCTCTATTCAGATCGTGGTGAGGATGCGGCTATGTTTGTTGAAGAGCGTCGTTGTGAAGGGTGGGAAGTTCAGGAAGGTAGTAGCCTAATCCCTCTCTGAAGTATTCAATGTCGCGTTTTCTCTATTATTATTCAAATCGTGGCGATGATGAGGTGGTGTTTGTTGAAGAGCGTCGGGGTGAAGGGTGGGAAGTTCAGGTCCGTCACAGTCCCCCATGATCATATGTATGTACGTCCGTCACACTCACTGGTCACTGTATGCATGTACGTCCGTTACACTACCACATGATCATATTTGCGTACGTCCGTCACGCCCACTGGTCACTATGTGTATGTACGTCCGTCACACTCACTGTTCACTATATGTATGTACGTCCGTCACAGTGCCACATGATCATATGTAGGTACCTCACACTGACTGGTCACTTTATGTATGTACGTCCGTCACACTACCACATGATCATATGTACGTACCTCCGTCACACTCACCGGTCACTGTATGTACGTACGTCCGTCACACTACCACATGATCATATGTATGTACGTCCGTCACGCTCACCGGTCGCCATATGGAGGGAGGTCCGCCAGACCACCACATGATC